GGAAAAAGGATTGCGCCATTACCAGGGCTCTAGTCGGGGGTGCTTTTGCCCTCCCTCCCTCTCTCTGACACATGAGCATATGTGCCTTCTGACAATGGTGGAAAAAAAGAAGGCAAACCTTTGAAAAGGAACTATAATTGGGAGCCAGTGGTGTAGTAGTTGGGGCAGCTAGATCCAAAGTGAATTTCTTTGCAGTTCGAGTCCCAGAGCCAGCAGCCTGAGAAACACACCAGGCATGTGTGTATGCATGCCAAAAGTCTCAAGAGGAGAAGGGAGAAGGGGGGATTGTAGCGTGGCCAGCCACTCTTGGGGTGCTCTCTCATTTTCCCTCTCTTTTGTCTTTCTCCAGTGAACATACACACCTTATAGCAAATTTAAGAAAGAAAGAAGAAAGGAAGGAAAGAAAGGAAAAAACTATAATCAATAAAATAAAAAACTTAGTGAAAGATGGGGCCAGCAGGTGGCATGGTGATTAAGGGCACTGGACTACCCCCACATGGCCAACTGTGGTTCGAGTCCCAGACCTGGTGGCTTGCTTTCTCATTTTCTCTCTCTCTTTCTGTCTCTCTCCCTTTCTCTCTCATACACACATACTCACTCTGTCCCTCTCTGGTCAAATTAAAATAAATAAATAAGTAAAGTTTTTTTAAAAAATGCTTAGTGAAAGAGTATTTAGCCACCAAACTGACAAAGGTCTGCAGGATGTTCTGATTAACCTTTAGAGGGACCAGACACAGATAGATACCACCTGGATCAATGAAAGTTCACATTTCTTAAAGATAAAGAAGTCAACTTAATCAAGTGTGTAGCTGGAAAAGCAGTAGTGTTGTCCAGTAACAGAACGTAAGGCTAGCCCAGGGTGAAGCAAGCCAGGCACCTATGTTTAGAAACCTGAGAGTGAAGGCCTTCTTAAATTTTGCACCCAAGACACCTTGCTTGCCTCGCGTAGTCCCAGCCCTGACATACAGTTGCAGATAATAAATCTAAATGAGAAGGAGACATATCAGACTTTCTGGAATATCAGCTATTCCTCTCCAAGCCCAATTACTGTTATAAAGAATTATTCTATTTAACTTTATTTATCTTATTATTGTTTTCCAGTTTTGATCAGAGAGAGACAGAGAAAGGGAAGGAAAATGAGAAAGCAAGCTACCAGGTCCAGGACTTGAACTGTGGTCGTCCATGTGGAATCTAGCGCCTTTAACCACCACGCCACCTGCCAACCCCTCCAAGCCCAATGTTATATGTAGCATTTGGGGCAGTTCTGCATGTTGGTGAGTCTGGATTGTGCCAGGGAGCACCTCATATGAGAGGATGGAGAAATGGAGGAAAAAGGATTGCGCCATTACCAGGGCTCTAGTCGGGGGTGCTTTTGCCCTCCCTCCCTCTCTCTGACACATGAGCATATGTGCCTTCTGACAATGGTGGAAAAAAAGAAGGCAAACCTTTGAAAAGGAACTATAATTGGGAGCCAGTGGTGTAGTAGTTGGGGCAGCTAGATCCAAAGTGAATTTCTTTGCAGTTCGAGTCCCAGAGCCAGCAGCCTGAGAAACACACCAGGCATGTGTGTATGCATGCCAAAAGTCTCAAGAGGAGAAGGGAGAAGGGGGGATTGTAGCGTGGCCAGCCACTCTTGGGGTGCTCTCTCATTTTCCCTCTCTTTTGTCTTTCTCCAGTGAACATACACACCTTATAGCAAATTTAAGAAAGAAAGAAGAAAGGAAGGAAAGAAAGGAAAAAACTATAATCAATAAAATAAAAAACTTAGTGAAAGATGGGGCCAGCAGGTGGCATGGTGATTAAGGGCACTGGACTACCCCCACATGGCCAACTGTGGTTCGAGTCCCAGACCTGGTGGCTTGCTTTCTCATTTTCTCTCTCTCTTTCTGTCTCTCTCCCTTTCTCTCTCATACACACATACTCACTCTGTCCCTCTCTGGTCAAATTAAAATAAATAAATAAGTAAAGTTTTTTTAAAAAATGCTTAGTGAAAGAGTATTTAGCCACCAAACTGACAAAGGTCTGCAGGATGTTCTGATTAACCTTTAGAGGGACCAGACACAGATAGATACCACCTGGATCAATGAAAGTTCACATTTCTTAAAGATAAAGAAGTCAACTTAATCAAGTGTGTAGCTGGAAAAGCAGTAGTGTTGTCCAGTAACAGAACGTAAGGCTAGCCCAGGGTGAAGCAAGCCAGGCACCTATGTTTAGAAACCTGAGAGTGAAGGCCTTCTTAAATTTTGCACCCAAGACACCTTGCTTGCCTCGCGTAGTCCCAGCCCTGACATACAGTTGCAGATAATAAATCTAAATGAGAAGGAGACATATCAGACTTTCTGGAATATCAGCTATTCCTCTCCAAGCCCAATTACTGTTATAAAGAATTATTCTATTTAACTTTATTTATCTTATTATTGTTTTCCAGTTTTGATCAGAGAGAGACAGAGAAAGGGAAGGAAAATGAGAAAGCAAGCTACCAGGTCCAGGACTTGAACTGTGGTCGTCCATGTGGAATCTAGCGCCTTTAACCACCACGCCACCTGCCAACCCCTCCAAGCCCAATGTTATATGTAGCATTTGGGGCAGTTCTGCATGTTGGTGAGTCTGGATTGTGCCAGGGAGCACCTCATATGAGACAAAAGGCATCTCAATTGCCCTGATGGCACACAAAATCCAGTATTGCTTCAGAATGGTGTACTGTGCAGAGTGCGTGGTACAGAATACTCCCAAACTCTGTGGGCGTTTATCACCTTCAGCTGCTCCAGACTGTGATCCAAGTACTTCCATGAATTTAGAACTGCAAAATTCAGTCAGAACAAGGGTTAGACATCCTAGGCATTTCTAGGAGATATGATAACAGGCTATACACGAGCTTTTAGGCTTATGTGAAAAATGTTAGTAGTCAAAAGAGCAAAAGAAGTACTCGTGAGCTGAAAGATGTTACACAGAATGGAGTATGGGGACATAAAGAGATAGAAAACACGGGAACCAGCAGTTAGCATAATGGCTATGTCGCTGGACTCCACGTAGTCAACCGCAGTTCACGTCCCGGACCCGGTGGCTTAAAACTCACGCCGGGCACATGTGCGTCCGTGCCCAAGATCCCGAGAGGAGAATGGAGGAGAAGGGATTGTGGCGTGACCATCCCCATCTGGGGGGTGATTTCTCGCTTTCTGTCTCTCTGTCTCTATCTGTCTGGCAAGCGCACGCGCCCTATAGCAAAAAAAAACTCAAAAAAAAAAAAAAAAAGAGATGGAAAACACTAAATAAGGTTTAAGGTTTGTGAAGAAGGAGCCAGGCACTGGACTCCCACATGCTCAACTACAATTCAAGTCCTGGACCTGGAAGCTTGCTTTCTCACTTTTCTCCTCTCTCTCTGGCAAGCTCATGTGTCCTATAGCAAATTAAAAAATAATAATAAGTTGAATAGTTATTTTTTAAAAAGTTCTAAAGAATATGGAAATATAAACTTAGAAAATGAAACTTCCACCTCTTCTAGCAGCACTTACTTCTAATAATTTGGTACATATCCATCCAGATTTTTCTGCCTGTAAAATATGTGAATGTATTTTTCCTGTAAGACAGCATATTATAAATATTTTTGTGCACTTTTTCTAAAATATAACTATATATCATAATCATTTTTCCATGTTGGGACCAGCAGTTAGCATAATGGCTATATTGCTGAACTCCCATGTAGTTGACTGTGGTTCGATTCCTGGACCCGGTGGCTTAAACTTATGCTGGGCACGTGTGTGTGCGTGCCCAAGATCCCGAGAGGAGAAAAGAGGAGAAGGGATTGTGGCGTGGCCATCCCCCTTGGGGGGGTGATTTCTTGCTTTCTGTTCTCTGTCTGTCTCTGCTTTTCTGGCGAGCACACGTGCCCTGTAGCAAAAACCTCTCAAAAAATTTTTTTGCCATGTTAATAAATACAGATCTACTTTATTCTAACTGCATAGTAAATTTACAGTTCTATCATTCTTAAGTTCTTCTATATCTTATAATCAGATATTTAAATTCTTCCCAATTTTATTATTACAAAGTTGTTATTACAAACTTATTACAAACTTGGTGAAAGTCCTTGTACTTTTGTCTTTTGGAGGAGGGTGGTTGTTACCAATTTCCAAATTGACCTTTTTTTTTTTTTTTTTTTTTGGAGAGGTTTTTTACGCTATAGGGTGCGTGCGCTCGCCAGACAGAGAGAGACATAGAGACAGAAAGCGAGAAATCACCCCCCATGGGGGATGGTCACGCCGCATTCCCTTCTCCTCCATTCTCCTCTCGGGATCTTGGGCACGCACACACACGCGCCCGGCATGAGTTTTAAGCCACCGGTTCCGGGACGAGAACCGCGGTCAACTACATGGGAGTCCAGCAACATAGCCATTACGCTAACTGCTGGTTTCCCCCAAATTGTCCTTTTATAAGTTTGTTCAAATTTATATTTTCCCTCCTCCACCCCACCAAAAAAAACCTAAATTCCCTGAACCAGCCAGTGGTGTGGTAATTAAGGCAGCTTGATCCCACATGGCTGACTGCAATTCAAGTCCCAAATCCAGTGGCTTGAAAAACACACTGGTAGCATATGCATACATGCCCAAAATCCCCAGAGGAGAATGGAAGAGAAGGGATTGCTTTGTGACCATCCTCCCAGGGAGGTGCTTTCTCACTATCCCTCTTTTTTTCTTGTTGTCTCTGTCTCTCTCTGGTGAGCAGATGTGCCCTACTGCAAATTAAAAGAAAAAGATTATATTCCCCAAAGAAATATTTATGTGCCAGTTGCCCAACATCTTGCCGACTTCAAATGTTATTTTTTAAAATCCTAGCAATTTTAATAGGAGAAAATGGGCTTTCAAGGGACATTAATAGTGATGATGAAGTTAGACTTTCTATATAAGTTTCCTGGATAATTTCCATTTGACTATCCAGAAGTTTTACAAGTGTTTGCCATATGTAGGGGATCTAATCACCCTTTCCTTGACTTCCATGTTTTTCAGTTACGAAAGTGGCCTGATTCATATACAAAGAAGTTTGAGCACAGAATTTACCCCATCACATTTTCTGTTGGAAACCCACAGGAATGGAAGAAATTATTCAAACCCTGTGCTGCCCAGAGGCTCTTTCTTCCGGTAGGAACACCTGTTTTTAATAAGGTGTAACTTGGGAGAGGCTTGCTCTTGGACACATGGTGAAATTCTTTGGTATGGATTTAACTTACAGCTGAAAATGTGTTTTTACTGAATGCTGTAGCTGATGGTCTCATTCTGCAATGTAGAAAAAGAGGATGTTGGGACCAGCAGTTGGCGTAATGGCTATGTCGCTGGACTCCCATGTAGTCGACCGCAGTTTGAGTCCCAGACCCGGTGGCTTAAACTCAAGCTGGGTGCGTGTGCGTGCGTGCCCAAGATCCCGAGAGGAGAATGGAGGAGAAGGGATTGCAGCGTGGCCATACCCCTGGGGGGTGATTTCTTGCTTTCTATCTCTCTGTCTCTCTCTGTCTTTCTGGTGAGCACACACGCCCTATAGCAAAAATCTCTCCAAAAAAAAGAAGGAAAAAAAAAAAAGAGAATGTTTCTAGAGGTTGTCTTCCATAAAAACACATGTTTTATCTTATGGGTCTTTGTGACTAGGGCTCCACCTATACTAACTATATGGGACACAAAAATTCCCCCAACTTCTCTAAGCCTCAATTGCCCATGGGCTTTGCATATAATTTTCCCCTGAAAAATATTAGTTTTGGTGATTATTATTTCTTTGATTACAGTAACAACTACTAGATGTGGCCAAGCTAGTACATAATTCAGACAGGGTCTAGAGTTCTGGTTCAGCCTTTCATTTTTTTTTTTTTAAAGAATTATTTTTATTTATCTTTATTTGCTTGTTTTTTGTTTGTTTATATTAATTTGACCAGGGAGGGGATAAAGTGAAAAAGAGAGAGAGAAAGTGAGAAAACTAGCCTCCAGGTCGGGGACTCAAACTGCAGTCAGCCATGTGGGAGTCCAGTGCCCTTAACCACCATGCCACCTGCTGGCCCTCAGTTTTGATATTTTAATTACCTGTTTTTTGTTTCCTTTTAAAATCTATTTGTTTATCTTTTCTGAGAGAGAAAGGAGAGACAGGTCCCTTCAACAGGCCCCCCACACCATGATCTACCTCCAATCTCTGATAGCCTCGCCATAGCACATGTGCTCATGCCTGGTGTACACAGGGAGGCCTCAGGATGTGAACCTAAGATCCTCCCATGTGGGTCCAGTGTCACAAAACCTTGCTTCACTCCTATGCTACTATCTAGCTGTTTCTTTAAATACAATCCTTGGGATCAGCAGATGGCATAATGGTTATGTCTCTGGATTCCCACATGGCTGACCTCAGTTCAAGACCTGGAACCACTGGCCTGAAACTCACACCCAGCACATGTGCATGCATATCCAAAATCCCAAGAGGGGAGTGGGGTGAGTTTTCACTTTCTGTCTCTGTCTCCAGTGAACACACATATCCTATAGTAAAAATTTCTCTTAAAAAAAAAAAAATCCTGGGGGACCAGCAGTTGGCATAATGGCTGTGTCACTGGACTCCCATGTAGTCGCCC